TAACATTCACCCCTACTTCTCTTATACATCTAGACTTTACGAAATCACCGATGAAAGTATCATCTTTAACCACAAGCTTGGACTCATCATCAGAAAAGAATTTGTCAACAAAAATGTATTCATCATCTGATACGATCTCACTAGAATGGTCCTCAACCATGTTGACTCCATCATAACCATCTCTGTTTCTTGTGACGCTAATAGTTCCTTCATCTAGAAGTAATTGGATACCCCTCTTCATTAAGGAACAACCACGGGGGTCTCTACAACAGATCCGACAACCACCATATTGGTGTAACTCTTGCCCTGTCATATGGAAAAAATTGGCATGTAACTGTACCAGATTATCCTCCATATCATTCACATCATAAATTCGGAATTCGGCGGGACATCCGTGCAACATATTCACTCCTTCTTCACATTCAGTCTTGGTCCTGATAACACAAGCAAGGCCTTCATCAATCAATTTTTGGAGGTCGACCTTCACCTTATCACATCCACGATTATTCTGGCTGCAGATATTACACAAATTATGGTCATGCATACAGTAACCGAGCCTGCACAGGTCAACGTGCATCTTCACCAAATTGCCTTTTATCAAATTCACATCATAAATCCGAGACTCTCCTGGGTCATCAGAAATCATATTCACTGTTTCTCCACCTCCATGTCCAGGCAACGGGTTGTCTTTCATATTGGGACCGACGTCTTTAAAGGACAGAATGCCAGATCTAACCATCTTTTGAACCTCAGACTTCAAAGAATAGCAGTTTTCTAGATTGTGCCCAGGGGCTCCCTAGTGGAAGGCACACGTCTGATCTGCCTTGTAATACCATGGTAAAGGAGATGGTATAGCGGGTGGACTCCTGGTCTGCACTAAATTTTTATGAATCAGTGCCAAAAATAGCTCTGTGTAACTCATCGGGATGGGTTCAAAGGGCTCTCTCTTCTGACTCTGCCCTTGGTTGCCTTGTTGAGGTGTTCTTTGATACGCAACAGCAGTCGGATCCATGTTAACAACCAGAGTGACTGAAGCAACCTGTTGTGGATGTGCCTGACGCCTTCCAGGCGGTTTAGCCCTTATCTCTTGAACAACGGCATTTGCATCTCCTTCTTTCTTTCTAGCAAATCCATATGACGATTTATTTGCACCACTAGAACTTTCGTCTCTCGTCAAACAACCTTCTCTTACGGCTTCCTCTAAGCGAACATCCATACCCACCATTTCCGTGAAGTCACTCGGTGCACTCGCCACCATTGTTTCGTAGTAGAAGGAACCCAGGATCTTTAAAACGATCTTCGTCATTTCCTTCTCTTCCATTGGGGGGATTACCTGGGCGGCCACTTCATGCCACCTTTGCGCGTATTCCTTAAACGAATCCTTATCTTTCTGGACCATAGCCCTGAGTTGATCACGGTCAGGCACCATGGCCACATTATACTTGTACTGTTTGACAAACGCCTCTCATAGGTCGTTGAAGGTATGAATATTAGCAATATCCAAGCTCATGTACCACTTTAGTGCAGCACCAGTCAGGCTATCTTGAAAGAAGTGGATCAGCAAATGTTGATCGTCAGTGTGAGTGGACATCCTTCTCACGTACATTATCAGATGAGCACGGGGGCAAGTATTACCCTTATATTTCTCGAACTCTGGCACTTTGAATTTTGCAGGTACTTTTAGATTTGGAACTAGGCATAGATCACTCACGTTCTGTCCGAACAGTTATTTTCCCCGGAGGGCTTTCATTTCCTTTCGCATCTCATTAAACTGATCTTGGAAGTCATCCATTATGTCATAGAATCCAACTCCTTCGCTCGGCGGCGGAGTAGGATGGTGAACCACATCATTAACGACAAGGACAACATTCATTACTGGAGGCACGGCATGACGGATCTCATTGCTGACAACAGGAGCAACGTGTACCACGGGAGGGGTAGAAGCCATAACTTGTTGAGCAGATTGAGCAATTTGAGGAGCAGGGTTGTATCCTTCTGGCGTATAACCTTCGGGTATTCCCCATGGATATCCAGGAGGCATGCGATGCTGAGCAGCAGTAGTATTTGGAGCAACTGAGATGGGAGCTGTCATAATTTTAGAGACAACTGTTGCTTGTTGTGGTTGCATAGCCTGAGGAGGTGGAGGTGGTGGTGGCTGATTCTAAGCAGCCACCAACGACTCTACCAAAGCAGTCAAGTTCGCCATTTCGGTTCTCAAAGCGGTGACCTCTTCGTGCAGTTCGCGATTCTCTTGTTCGATATTTTCCATCTGCCTCTTGAAATTGCTTCGAGTATTATAACGATGAAAATTTGTGGTAGCAATCTCTGTAAAGAAACCCGAATCAAAGATAAGAAAACCTGTCGTGACCCACCTGTCATGATATGGTATGCATGGATGAATGGTTATGCATGAAGTGTCTTGTCATTTCCAGGAGAATCCTTTGCCATTTTTTTCGCGTTTCTTTTATAAAATAAATATGCCATGATGCAAGTGCAATAATCATAAGATCAAAGTTTCTGCAATGTTGGATAGTTGTTGAACTGATAACAAAACCACTGTCATATGTAATAAGATCAAAGGTCCGGACCAAATCAGAATACCAAGGATCAAAGTCACCAGTATAATCAGAGTTACCAACGGAACGTGTATAGTCACCATATATACCTATAAAGATCATTCCCTCCCCACTCACGGGTAAAGATTAGGTCATGGTAAGATCAATGGTAACTCAGAATCGAGGGTACTCCTGAAAAACTATCGCCATATCACCTACGTGAAAATGATAGCCCCTCATTTGTACCTCATATGAGCATGGAAGACATGGCGGCATAGTGAAACCTAAGTCAACTAGCCATTCATGTTCCACTCTATTCCTAGTGTTCCTGTGGTTTCCACTTGGCCTGGGTATTGGGCCTTTTACCTCATAGTAACATCCCACCCATCAAGAAACAGAGAACCAGCACAACAACAATATAACAAATAGGAATAAAGATGCAATGCAAACATATGCTCAAACATATACAAATGAATAATCTATAAAAGCATAATGATAAACACCCTAAGAAATGAAAAACGGGAGCTAGGAATCACTCACAGGATGGACCAGCAATAGGTCGACATAATAATTCCCCAATGAGGTCGCCATTTTTCTGTAGCAGTAAAATCAATAAAGTCACCACCGAGTATTTATTCATCCCATATGAAAGGGAAAGGAAAATCATCGAAGAAAAACCTAAAGGGGAAATCAAGGTCTTGCGACCGAGAGATTGGGTAACGGAGTCGATTACGAGAGGGGAAGGTATTAGCACCCCACACGTCCATAGCACTCTATGGGATCCACTCTCGTTATTCTAATCAAAGGGTGTGTTCAATCTAATGCTTAAGGGTTATAAACTAAGAGGGAATGCATGCAAAGAAAGGAGAAAGAATGTAGAGAAAATAAAGTTGTACTCGCTTGGGCCCTACCCCAATGCCTACGTATCCTTTTTGAGGAATCAGAGCTACCATAGTTCAGCTTATATGTTTTTGTTTGTTTGTTTTTTTTAATGGACAATGTTAATCTCGCCTTCTGCCACAGCTCGACCGTTGGAGACTTATGCATTGGCACATAAGTAAACTAATCATGTCCTTACCTAAAAAGGGTTTTAGATAAAAGTGCTTCAGTGCACAAAATTGTTTGAATTGGTTTGTGTTTTATTACCTTGAAAAAGGGTTTAAGCATGCTTAGCGTGTTTTTGATTTGCTAAGAAAAGAAGTTTTTTGTTTTAGATGCAAGGATGCAAAAAGGGAAAGAACAGATTCTAAGGGAGACTAGCCTATCTCTAACCTAATGTTATCACACAATGGTAGCCCTACGTCAAAGATGAAAGGGGAAATTTCTACCTAATGTTAGCATGCATGGTTAGAAACCTAAGGTCTAACTTGCGTTTGAACGGAGCAAGCGCATCCTAAGGGAATCATGGTATGTACAAGGATAAAGCAAGCAAGCTAATAAGATCAAGAGAGCACACCTAGAAAGATCCTATCTAAGTTAGCATGCCAAAGAAAGTCTAACAAAACTATCCTATAGGGAACATGCGATGAGAGCGAAGTCATGATCTCAATTTCTAAATTGAGTGACTCATCGATCAACAACAAATAAATAAAAGCGATAAAATCCTATAGGGAGCATGCACTGAGAGCGAAGTCGTGATCTCAATTTCTAAATTGAGTGACTCATCGATCAACAAGAAAGGAAGCAAACACAAGCACAACACATAACAGAAATGAAGTGCGGAATGCCTGCTACAGGTCTTTAAACAGCGACTTCGAGCGCACGCTCTTTATTCCCTACTTCACATGATATCTAGAAAGTAATAACGAAAAGCAATAAAGTGCGAAGAAGTACAAGGGTAGTAGCGGAGGCTACCAAAGCGAGTCAGTCGTCAAGAGCAGACGAAAGCACTGAAAAAGCAGGGAGTACGCGTCGAGCAAGCTTCACCAAGAAACAAACAAAGTTAGAAACAATATCCAACTAAGATAAAGGCAAACGCGTGTCGTGAATGCAGCGTATAATCAGAATTTCCGTTAAACCACTGATCATGCCAAGGGAATTAAATTAAGGATACAGAATCGACAAGGACATATTAACATCTTAATTCTAATCATGTACCAAACATTAATTCAATTAATTCCTAAGCTAAAAAAAAAATTATTAGAAAAATATCACTAAGTCAAAGAGTAACATATTAGTACCCACACAAAATTTCATCCAAAAATCATGGAATAAAATACTACAATTAAATCGCCAAAATTCAAGAAACAAAGGGATAAAATAAGAGAAGTTAGGAGGTGCAGGGTGAGCTGATGGGAGTGTGGTTACAAATCCTGAATGCTAAGCCCAAATCCAATTCCCTTCAGCATTTTCAGATTTTTATAATAAAAATGAATTAAAAGAATTTGAAAAAGATAAAATAAATTAAATTAAAACCATGGACTGATACGTTGCGTTTTGTTCGTATCACTTCAACCTAGGTCTCTTCTTCCTCAACCACGGAGCTGCAAAACTTCCTCTCTTCTCACTCGCACCGTGCCGCACCGTGGTGGCATCATCATCATTCTCCTTCTTTCTTCTTCCGCCATTCACCTTCTCAAACTCCATCCTTTTGCAAGAAGCTCAAACCTTCATCTCTAAATTCATCGTGAACAGAAGCCCTAACGTACTCGATATGCCAGAGATTCAAGTGGCGATTTTTTTGGGGCTTTACTTTTACTCTTCATCTTCTACCGATTCACATCAAGAAAAGAAGAGAAATATATGAACAAATGCGGAAATTTGGCGTTGCTTACCTACCGGAAGAACTGTTCGGCGCTTTATTCAACAATCGTTGCAACAACAAGAAATCTGGAGGTCAATTCTTCAATTTATTCTTCTTCTTATTCTATTCATCGTGTTAACTTCTACGGTTTTGTGATTACCTTATGTTATTGCATAACTCGCGATATTTATGAAACCGATCTAAAATTTGAGTCGATGATGATGATGCAAGGTTGCAGATTTGTCGTTGTTGCAGATTTGGTGAAATACCAGTGACGATGATCGAAGTTGCGCGATGATAGTTGCAGTATGAAGCTCTGCGAATTGGAGGTTGTTGAAGTTGTATTGATGATGACGATGAAGCTGTGTTATGAAGCTTCAAAAATGAAGAATAGGTTCAGAGATTTTTCTAGAAAGAGGTTGAAGAATCATTGTCGAGAGAGAGAGAGAGAGAGAGAGAGAGAGAGAGAGAGAGAGAGAGAGAGAGAGAGAGAGAGAGAGAGAGAGAGAGAGAGAGAGAGAGAGAGAGAGAGAGAGAGAGAGAGAGAAAAGATCTTCAGAGCTTGTTTCTGGTGAGTTCCCTTTTTAGATTTTCTATGTTGAATAATCGTATCCCCATCATCTTTTTCTATTATTTGTTTAATATTGTTGAGGGTTAATGAAAACAGTTGATGGAGATTCACGAAGGTTGTGCAAACTGCTTGATAACTAAAGCTTCGAGGTTGATGCAGGGTGATGCAAAAAAGATGATGAAGGCCACGAATCAGGTTTAAGGATGATTGAAGAAGATGCAAAGAATTTCATAGAGAGAGAGGTTAGTGATTGAGGAATCGTCAAGAGAGTGATAAAGGATGTGCAACAGAATTCTTCAGGGGATCATTCTAGAGGTGGTTTCTTTCTCTGTGAGTTTTCTATCTGTTAGATCATCGTCCTTTTCTGTTATGATTTTTCTGCCCTTAAACCATTGTATCCTCTCCTCCCTCCATTTTTTGTTATTTCTCTGTTAAGAAGCAGTTAGAAGGATCAGAGGTTGTTATGGCTGTTAGGGAGTTTGTTTTTGGTTGAGAATTACTAACTTTGTTATATTCAGTTAGTTTGGTATTTGCTAGATACTGTTAGGAAATTTGCTCAGATCCTGTTGTGAAATCAGTTTCTATTTTTGAATGTTGATTGGAAGTTAGTTACAGGCGGTTATGAGGTTAGAAAGTTGGTTGGAATTTTGTTAGAGTTAGTTTTGTTTAGATTAGAAACTGTTAGAAATCAGTTTTCGTTTTCTGTTATGACAGTAATGGACTGGGTTTTTGATGAACTGTTTTTTGGGTGTTTTTGCTGGATCGGTAAAGGGGTGTTTTTTGGCAGCAGGCTTTGCCTTCAGATCTCAAAAGTCCTTTTTCTCGTGCTGCAGCGAGTGAACCAGCAGCAACAAAGTCATTATAAGCCACTATCTCTGCTCGAATGAAACCCTTCTCAAAGTCAGAATGAATAACTCTAGCAGCTTGAGGTGCAGTCATCCCTTCAAGTATTGTCCATGCTCTTGTATCCTTCTCATCTTCATTATATCAATTCTGCATAATAGAATATTCATTTTCTGCTTTTTGCGCACTAATGTTGTAGGTGAAGTTGACTATTCATAGAACGTTTATCGACATTCACAGCCTGTTGACCTCTGTTATCGTCCCTATATTGTTGAGTTTGATTTCTATTATGGAGACTAAGCTCGTCTTCATTGTTAAACATAGAAAGACTTTGTGAAGAATCAGGACAAGGTCGAGATGACCCCAAGCTGGTGGTTCTGCTAAGTTTGAAGCTTATATTACCTGGAATGAGACTGCACTGAGAAAGGAACTGACTCATAGAATTCGTGGACTGAGTTGTAGAAGCGTGAGATGGGATACTACTGGTTCTGGATTCAGTGTGACTCCACTCATCAAGATCAATGTTAGAAGGCATACAAGGTATCTCATCCGGTTTAAATTTTCTAAAAGACTTTGATTTCGCTTCATCCGAGTCAATTTCATTGTTACTGGTGTATGTAACATCACTTCCATTTACTTTATTCTGATCACAAACCCGTTCATCATTATCACTGTCACGAGATCCAGAAGTTGTTCAAAGACAATAAGAAGGAAAACCTCTATGTCTCTTGGATCGATTCTTTCGTAAACTTTAAGAAGAAGACGAACTACAAGAAGAAGCACCTTTACTACTAATAGACCCCATTTTTCCTTCCAAAAAATTCCTTAAAAGAATTGTTTTTCAATGACCCAATAAGCCAAATATCAAAACCCATAAATCAAAAATGAGTTCTTTTGAAGATCCAAAGAGTTGCAGCTCTGTAGCGGTGAGAGAGTAAAGTAGCATTTATGTGTGTGTAAGTTACTTGTGAGAAGGCTGCGAGTAAAATAATAAGAGGTTCTTGGATTGTAGTAAAAGAGTAGAGGAGCGTGTGAGAGAGGGTGCAGAAGTTGGTGAAATTCTTCCATTTGTGAAGAAGTTGAGGGTATTCAAGAAGTGTTTGAATTTGAAGAAGGACTTTGGTTTCTGTTGGTGTTAATTATGCACTTTTATGTAATTTTGAATGGTTGAAAGTGTAAATGTTCTTAGTTCTTGATATTGTAATAGCCATGGTTGAATCAAGAGAAGAGACTTTGAATTAATTCACTTGTCTTTGAATTTATTCTTATGCTTACATCTTCTCAAAATGTATCTTGAATGAATCGTGATCCCTTCTTTAACCTTAAGTTCAAAATCTTCTTTTTGTATCTCAAACATACTCCAAATTCTAAGCAAAGCCAATTGATGAACCACTTACATTATGAGTACAAGAAAACCAGGAAAATTATCCATCAGTCCTGTAACATCTCTCGCATATATCTTGTTCTTCAAGCAAGTTAAATGACTTGTCTTTGAATCACATTAAAAACTTCTATTATATGTTCATTCTTAAATCGATCCTTAATGTAACTCGAGCGCTCATGACAAGTCGAAACTCGGTTGACTTCAAATGGCATGCTTGGTCAATGAACCTTAATCTCAATTAAATCCATAAATTCTAGTCATCTTGCATTTGAAACAAACATCTTTTATTTGATAAAATGAGCTAAATAAGCTCCTGACCCTATCTTGAATCATCTGTTAACAAGGTCATGAACCTAATAAGCCCCTTGAACGAATATTAACTCTGAGCATGATTAGAAGTTTCAAACAAATCCAAGTCATTAGTCATCCCTCTCAATAGCCCAAGTTAACTTGCAAATTGAAGTAACAAGTATTTGATGAGAACCAAAAACTGTTTTATTCACAACAAGTCCACAATGTTGAAGAAGGAGAACCTCAAGATAACCACAAGATCGAGCTCTAATCCACTGATCCCCAATTGAAGCATAACAGAAGAAAATCCTAATTCTTAAGCATTGAAGAAAGATTGCAACCTGATGCTGAGGAGAGAGAATATCCCTGTAGTTTGATGATAAAGAAGTCCAGGAAATAAAATCCTAATTCGAATAAATTATTGATGTAGAAATCAACCGAAACAAGCTTGTGCGAAGATAAGAGCCTTAAAGCCACTTAACAAACCTAATTCCTCGAAATCCATGATCTCAAGCCGAACTATCGACTAATGATGCATGATGCGTCAGATGACCTAATGAAGGTTATGTACCTCAATCTCAATTAAATCCACAGATTCTAGCCAGCTTTCATTTGAAGTGACCAACCACCATTCAGAGAGAGAAACCCTAATGCCAGAGCTCTTCGATCTTATAACCATGAGACCAGTGCTATATGCGAAATGTACGAAGTATAATGAGGGATCTTAGGGGAAAAAATTGGGGTACAATATTGAAATCATCTACGTTTTCATCTCTCACGGATGGAAGCCAATTTCGATCATAAGGTCTTCAAAAATGCGGATTTATCAAGTATTTTCGTACAGAAAATTTGTGACAGAAGTTTATTTACGTCATGTTTAGAAAATCATAACATGGTTTATTTTCATCATATCGAGCTGGTTCCCGCGCCAAAATTTAACAAATTGAGTTGGCTACATTTTCACAGGAGGTATCGAGTTCGAACGGTATCTAAAAGGCCTTCGTTTTTTAACCAGAGTGTGTGTGACGCGCCGAAAATCCTGAATGCTGAATATTATTTCATCTGGGTCGAAACTTCGAAAATTCATAACTCGGTCAATTTTTATCGGATTGGGTCCATATTTTTACACAAGGTTACTGACTCATAGATATACAACTTTTCTTCTAAAGTCGAGATCGGGTTCTGCTCCGATCAATACCAGTTTTTTTATTGAAGAACGTGTCAGAGTTGACACTGGAGCCCAAAATAAGTTTGTCTGAGCCAAAACTTCAAAAATTCATAACTAATTCACCGTTTATCCGATTAAGCCCATTTTCGAACATGATTTAGTTCTCGATGTCGGCTATATTTTGTTTTCACTTTTCAACTTCAAAAACTATACTTAAGCCCCTGCGATTTAGCCTAGAATGTGACGGACTCAAGTGAATAAAAATCTGCAGTATTGCTGGTGGTTATTGGAGGCCCAATTGCACATTCAAAGCCCATATCTTTTCTCTAATTTCCATTATATAATCTCACTTTTTCACACAAACAGGACATGACAAAACAAAAAAAACATTTTCCACAACCCTGTCAAAATATCAAATTCTTTCAAGAATCCTAAAAACCTTGAAATCCTTATTATAAACCCCCATCTCACTACAAACAAGCCATCCTTGTTACAAACCCACATCTCACTACTTCTCCAGTAAGGGTAAAGCTGGTTTGATCTCCATGATCAAAAGGGTGTAGAAACACTCATACATGCCATATCGGTTTTAACATTAAAAAAATTTCATATATTTATTTTCTTTGCATTTCATGATATAGTAACTTATTTAATGTGTTCATGAGATTCAACACTGCAGATTTAGACATGGTCCCGTGCAGGTTTATCATAAAGCGTTGAGTCCAAAACAGAACAACCACCAATACATGACTCATGGCAAGGCAGATATCCTGAGGAGGCTAAGGGCGTGAGTTCAACATTCACCCCTATTGGTTTTGGTTTTCTTCCTTTCTATTTATCCTTTACCTATTTTCATTCTTTCTGTTTAAAACCTTTTTCATAAAACTTAACATTTTTCACAAACCTTTGATTTTTCATAATAAACTCGAATAATTAATTTTAAGGTTTTTTTAATTTTAGGTTTTAAATTATTTTTTGGTTCAACACCCACCCCTGACAATATGTATAATTTTGCTTATTTTTAACCCTTTTTGCCTCATTTCTTTCTCTTTAATATCTTCCTTAAAAACCTTAAATTCATATAAACTCTAATTTTATTTAAATCAAAAACCCTATTAATTGGCAAACTTAACTTTTCTTACAAACCCTAATTAATTTAAGTTTTAAATTTTTTTTATTATTATTAACTCTCTTTTTTTATTAACTCTTTAATTTAATTAATTAACTTTTTTTCCTGCAAATTAGGAAAACAATTAGGTTTTAGGTTTTCTTTGTAATTAACCATTTTTTTAACAAATTAGGATTAGGTTTTTGTTTTAGTTAGTAATTGAATTTTTGGATTTTTTTTCATTTATTAATAAATTAAGTTAATTAACTTTTTTTATTATTAAAATTAGTTAGAATTAGGTTTTTAATTAACTTAAAATTATTTTATACAAAAAACACCAAAAACATTAACTTAGAATTTTAGGTTTTAATTTTTCCTTAATTTCTTTTACATTTTAATTTCTAGGAAAATTGTATAGGTCGCATTATCAGTATAATAGCGTAGATTTATCTTTTCTCGCATTTTTTCTAATTATGTAATTGCTTCCAGGATGTAATAGTTTTAGGATTTATTTTCCGCACTCTTCATTATTATGTAACTGCCCCAAAGCTCTGTAATAGCCTAGGTTTACATTTCCGCCTTTACCTTCTGCTACTATATTTTATGCAATGCTTAGACTAATAGGATTGTATGGAAAAACAGGTAAACTAATTGAACATAGCATAACCTAATTCAAAGATAATATATCTGAAAACAAACACTGCTGCACACTTGCACCCCTAAGGTATACCTCACTTGGTTGTCTCGGAAATAATGGTCATGTCCCTCGAATGTAGGGGTATCTTAGCAAAGGCCCTCGGTTAAAGTCATCATAAAGATCATAGTCCCTCAATGTCCCTCGAGTTGCCTAAGAGAAATGGTCTTGTTCCTCGATGTTACCTATGAATATATGATGACAGTCCCTTCGAACTGCTAAGGTATCTTTACATGTTGCCTTCAATGACCATTACGTCCCTTTCGATTGTCCCTTAAACTCCAACAACGATGCTACCTATTTCTCAATAATGGGATAACATTGTCTAAAAGGAAAACGAACAAACCTTTTTTGAGTAGGTAGATTAGTTCCTAGGTACTTTCTCAAACAAACAAAAACTTTTTCACACCAATACTTTTCAAACAAAGTTTCCAAAAACAACTTCGTAACACTCTTAAGGACAGAAACAAGGGTTAAAACAAAGTTAAACAAAAACTTTTCAAAACAAGCACACAAGCAATTTCAAAGTGAGTAAGTACCTAAGAGCCCATGGAAAACCATGGATAGAAAGGGCGCTAACACCTTCCCTTTCTATAATCTACCCCCGTACTCAGAAACATTCTCGAAAAAGGTTTTTTCTGTTCTTTTTCCTTTTCCTGATTGGATAAAATAAAAGTCGATGGCGACTCTTACTTACCGCGACATTTTGTGAACAAAAAACGCAAACCAGTAAAAACAGTCGGTTTTGCCACCGTATCACACATATTCACTATATTCAAACTGTGTTTTTTACTTCCTTTTTATGATATTCAACTCTCAATTAAAAGCTATAAGCCTTTAGAGGGCGAATGATGAAAATAATACCATAATCTCTATAGTATGCTTTGGAACAGACCTTGCTGACGATGTACAAGCGTTATTTCAAATCCTAAATAGTGGAGTTATAAGGAAGATAATCCCTAGTCAACCCCTTTGAGCCGAAGAAGTAGGAGTTCTCTTTTTCATGCAAATTGAAACCCTTAATCATAACCTGGGGCAAGGTAGTTTCTCAGCTAATTCAAAGGTGCATTTAATTGCAAGCTTCCTCTTCATACACGATGAGTGGTGTTGAAGGTGCCCTTCCAAAACAAAAGATGGTGATGGTTCCGCATAATCATCAAAATAGGCTGTCATTATCTCTCAAAAGAAAAGCTCGTTGAGTCAAAACCTATGAAGGAGACTTAAAAAAAATTGAGGCATCTCGCTGACTGTAATCATAAAAGAAACAGTTCAGGAAAAAAGTAGGGATAATAAAATCAAAAAAAGAGGTCGTTACAAATCCTCAACAAAAAGAAAAAATGATGACTGCCTTCTCAAATAAACCATCACCAAGTATCAGGGCCAAGATTCCAGAATTCAATGGGGATCTAAACGCACAATTAACTGAGTATAAGACTGAAGAACATTACGAAGAGCGGGTTAGGTACAAATAAAGTTTGAGCCTTTATCCTTTGTTTCTTAAACCGTGAACCAAACCATGCTACAATCCTTAAAAGTCCTAATTGAAACATGGGTTAACTCGAAAGCATACTGTTATAAAAGGTATCCTGAGTCCTGACTCCTGTAAGGCTTACTGTAAATCCCCAGTTGAATTTATATTCTTACAAATCTCTTTTATCTTCTAAAAATGCATTTTCAAAACTTCAATACAAACATAAACTTTGCATTATTTGAATATAGTTGTTTGCATATAATTATTTGTTCAACAACAGAGAAATTCGCACGACGAATATTCAATGAACAAAAATCCTCTCAATGGACAGAATTACCTCAGATGGAAATACATTTCCAGTAACAAGCATTTCATAATCAAGGGGCATGACATGGTGTCTAACTGATCTAGGGGCAGTCGAGTAAAGATTCGAGGAATCTCTCAAGAGTGCCAAATAGCCAGGGGCAGACCTCCGTCTGAATCACTTGGGGCATCGACCATGGGTTCCGGCAAGGGGCCATTAAGCAAACATATTCCTGGAAAAATCACCAACCTATGGAGTTTCAACATTACGGTCCAAGGGAATTCTTCTCCCCAAGCAGGAAGTAACATCCCCCAGTGGAGTTTCCTCAAACAAGAAACCAAGGTTCCCCAGCGGAAACAATCCCCAGAAGATTGAAGATACACATGCTTTTCATCCCCAGCAACAATCAGGGATTTATTTTCCCCAGTTTAATGACACTACAATAGAACAGTTGATACATTCATACACTGCATTCATACATCATTCACCAATATCATAGCATATACATACAAAATGCATATAACACATTCTCATTTATTTTGAGAATGTCATTACGCAGTGCACTCCATACATCATGACATTGCACACATTTAACCCTTTATCTTTTCAGGTAAAGCTTATGAGCAGACAAATTTCTTCAGAAACTAAATTCTGACAATTACTTCCCTCAAAGACTTTCCCCAGAAAGTCATTCTGAAAAATATCTCTTCTAGATGAAGTCGGATGCAGACATCTTCTAGTGCATCACTTAGACGAAATCAAGTGAGGATTCCTTCTGATACCCTGTTGAAGTAGTAGTCATCAAAGATTCCTTCATTACCTGCTAAAGTAGTAGTCGTCAAAGATTCCTTCGTTACCTGCTAAAGTAGTAGTCGTCAAAGATTCCTTTAGTTGTACCCCAAAATTTTCCCTCCCATTTATACTCAAGACATGT